TACTCACTTTGACCACCCACACTTCATCATATTTTAGGTCAGGACAGCATACACTAACATAGTCTGGTCTGGTGTGGTGTGGGGGGAAAAGGCCAAATTTCTCAGAACACATGTCCAAAGCAAATGTGTAATGGATTTGTGGAGGAACTAAATCTGGAAGTTATCATCGAACCTCAACAATGCTATGCATTTTTACAGCAAAAGAAAAACACCTTACCTTTCCACCACAGGTGGAGGGAACATTAAAAACGACCACAGTGAATAGTGTAGCTGTAGAGCATAAGCTGCTCATTACTGCGGGGTAATTATGTAATTCTCTGAGCCATTTAAATGAGCTTTTTCTCCTACTGCATTTGTTGTGACTTGGGCTCCGTACCAGGACCAGGTATTAATACAATGCAAGATTAGTTATTACTTGGCTTTGACGACAAACACATTGTTCTAGCTAATGCGCTGAGATCTTGCCAATAGATTGCCTCCCTAATCAGCCGAACCCTGCAGAGAGAGAGAGATGGCATGGGTCCTGTAATGTAAAAAAAACACCCAGCGTGGGCTCAACCCCGCAGCTTGCATTCCATGATAAAACAAAGGCTCAGCTTAAGTGTTGCTTGAAGGCCCAATCATGGAGGTCGGCGGGCCCATCACATTGTCAAAGCAGGGCTGAGGTAAAATCCTGGATAATGTGGGTCATCTGTTTTGCGTTGCTTTTTACAGACTGATGAAATAAAAATATTTATCCATCTTTTCATTCATCTTCTGTGAATTATTCTATTAAAAGGTTGCAGATGAGCTGGACACAATCCCAGCTAAAATCGTACCAGAGGTGAGATACATCCCCGAACATGTCACCCGTCCACCACAGGCTCAGAAAAATACAACCGTTTGCACTCACATTCACACCTACAGTCAAATTAAAGTTAATCCCTAATCTGCATGTCTTTGATGTACAGGGAATGACACAGTAACGGAGAAAAACTCATGCTCTGTCTGGAAGAACATACGTACATACTAACAGGCAACAGTTCGTCAGTGACAATGTAAGACTATACTGGTGCTACTACTAGTAATTTTTCCCTTTAACCCACAGAGCTCCAAACCAACATGGGTTAATACTGAAGAATTTGCCTAGATTTTAATATCGGGATGTCCTGTTGCCTATAAAGTGCATGTTTGGTTTCAAAATAACTGTACAAAATAGGTGTCAGAACAAGAAAGTCACCACAACAGCAGTTAGTTTGCTCCTTCACTGACCTGCAATCTGCTGGGGCTTTTGTCAACATGAAAGGTCAAATACCCATTCTGTAATCAACCTTGTTGCATTCTGGCAGGACTGAACACACAGTGGCGACCATCGGTTTTACAACTGTGTTTTACCTTTGAAATCAGCACAACAGTGGGAAAATGTGCCCCTATTCTGGAATCAGACTGTTTACACAAAACGGTAAGGCGTAAAATTCCTGCATTGAACAGTGAATGTAAAATGAGGCTAATGAAAAAGAGGGAGGATGTTGGAGAGTGGGATGCACCAGTGGCTTTTCAATTTGACATTTGAAACCAAACACCATCCACCAGCTTTATATTTTACATCTTTATATTTTCTTGACTGTCTTATTAAAAACAAGAACTTGCGAGTGAAATAGAGATAAAAAGTTGACTTTTAAGAAAAGAGGTCCTGTTGTTGCACTATAAATAACAATCGCAAATGAATGCCTCAATATTGACTGGCAGGACAAGTATGCACATCCCTATAGTTGTGAATGCGCTGCACTCACCTTACCTGAGCTGCTGAGGCACAAAGCAACTGCCCTGCTGCTGCCCGCTTTGCAACCGCGCTCTCACTTGGCATGACATGAATGACCTACAGTCTGTGTGAGGCACTGCAAGATGAAAAAAAAGTGACTTGCATAAGAGAGGACAAGTGAAGGAAGGTGTGCTCAGGGTCATCTGTCTGCTGCAGTGGTGACAGCAGCAGCGAAGCAGCATTTCAAATGCTTAAGGAAGCTTCTTAAACAGAGCACAAACACAGATACTGCTGTCACTGTCTTTGAGGGATTCCCATAACTGCTTCATGCATTAATCCAAATGTACATGTCAAACCGGTGACTTCTTCCGTGAAAACAATTTAATTAGTCAGGACAATGAGCATGGCTGCCCCTCATCCATTTTTCATTCTCGAAAACACAGGGATCTAATCTCATTGGCTTGTCAGGAGTTTTAAATGACTTCCTGGGAAGCTGCCAAGTTGGGAGTTCTGCACACTAAGGAATTTTCCACTGCTTAACTTCCTAAATAGATGGCATTACTTCAGTGCTCTAATCAATGCACATTTTTATCACGTCTGGTGAAGTGAGGACTTCTTTATGGTTTGTAAATAGGAGGGTTTTTCTACACTGGTCGAGTAGGTGGTATTATTATGCATTTTGGGTAAGGGGTCTCAAAATATAAAGAAGGATTTTGGTTCAACTTTCAGAGAACATTTTTGACCCTACATGGAAATAATTTTGACTTGAGTTGAGAATATAAACCTGGCAGGAAAATAATAATTTTAGTTGTGTGATGTAAACCTATAATAAAAAAGCATTATTTTTTTTCTGAGCAGCATTTTAGAACACTGGTTTTCAGTGATATTAAGGAAAAGTCAGACACAGTTTACAAAAGTAAATTTTAAAAGGTTGCAACACACTATGGTTTTCATGTCAGCCCAATAGTTCAGTTTTGAGGAATCAAAGGTAGATGTTCTTATTTCAAGTCCGATGACATTAAAATGAGGCATTGTAAATTTCAGATAATCCTATTTGACATTGAAATCAACACATTCAGTCATAATCTCCACATGTAGGCACACAAGAAAAATGGATGTACAAGAAAAGACAGAGCTTTCTTTGAGGCTTCAAGATATTTCAGCAACTACGACATGTTATATTTGCTTTTTAGTAGATGTGTCATCATTTGATGACCAGCTGCAAACATTACATGGAATGGAGCAAAATCAAGCCGTTGTGTTTTTAAGTAAACGAAGTAGATATATAAACTGTTCTACTTTGGCTTTAAAACTGTTGTATTGCAGCTTCGTCTCCTACAAAATATCATTGTTTTAAACCAAAAGCATATGATGTCTAAACACAGTGAATAGTAGCATACATTAGCTGTGTCTTAAAGAGTAAACTTTCCAAGTGCATTTAAAAATACTGAAAGAGGGGAAGTTGTTCCATCTGGCTCATAAAGATGTCTAATTTGCAGTGGAGCAGCACTTTAAAAAAGTAAAATTTGTTGAACCCTAACAGCTCTAAGAAAAGACAACCCTACAGAGGTCAAACAAGATATTCTCTCCTCGCACAGCTCCACCACATTAGAAACGTCTCACTGCTGTAAGCATTTTTCCTGAGAGGAAGCGGTATGACAGAAAAAAAAGCTGACCTTCAGGCCACAGAGAGCGATCAGATAGACTGGGTACAGTGATGTGATTGAAATATGAGCGTAGAAACAAAAGAGAGATAAAATCAATAATCCCTAAAACAAAAACTCTATAGGTTCTAGAGACATTAATATGGACCTGACTGTAGTGGAAAAACAATGCCTGTTGGTGTCTGAACAGTCCAAGCATGAGTGTGGCATAAAACAAAAGCAGAGAAATGTGGAAGAAAGGCAGGTGGGTGTTTGGACACTGCTACGGTTCGGAGAGTGTGAGTTTGTGCACGTGACTGTCTCGCCACCATTACCACCACCTGGCAGTGGAACCGTCTAGATGAAACTACAGACAAAACACATGGGCAATTTAAAGAGGGGTTACTTCTACAAATAACGTGTGCAATACGGAGTAAATGAATAATATGAACAAGGCTTCATTGATCAGGCAGCCTTTGCCTCATGACCACATCAGAGTAGGAAAAATGTGCAAAAACACACTGATATGAGTCAGTGTAAACAAGGACAGCAGAAACAGGAAGCAGCATCTTGACGGACTTGTACACACTGCATGGTTCATGCATGACCCGACCTTTGTCATGTTTATGTTGACTGCTACATAAACATCTCTCGTCTCCTCCAGCACTTATTCATCTTCTTTGGAGAAAACAGATTGGTGAATTTAGACCCAAGGCACCACAACTAGACTGGACTGTGGCTCATTATCTGCTGCCACATCAGATACTGTCAAACACCAACGCCGTGCACACTTCCAGGACTTTAGAGGTCATTTTAGATTGAAGCCAGCTCCCTGTATCTGTATCTGTAACCTGAATACTTTCACAAGATGGAAAACACAATCTGTTCAAACTCCCCTAAAAGGGATTTTGGCAAGAAGGCAGAGAACAGAAAAGAATACAATGAGGAGTGGGGCCAAATAATGGAGAAGCGATGGCAGGTCTGGCCAAAGCAGATAAAAATGCGGACATATTTATACTTTAAGCTGTTAAAGAGACAAACACTAACCAGCAGAAGAAGCGGCAGAAATGTGTGTGTATAATTTCTGAGCTCCACTGTACTCTCCACTATTTCTTTCCCCTCCTCCACTTTATTTTAGCGGCCTTGTGAACAGCCGGTGGGGAAAAAAAGACTACTTGTGCAGTGACAAAAAAACAGGAAGACTTCAAAGTGCAGAAATCCCTTTGTTTCTCCAGCAGAAAGAACATTTGTTGCCCAGACTTAAAAAACATCAACTTCAGTTTAACTTTTCCAAGAACCACTGTAAACCTAAACTTTTCATCCAAGAAACTCTTCCTTTTTTAACATCTCAACCACACAAAATCTCTGCAGCTTCACTAACTCTCAGCTGCTTTGCTCACTCTTCAGTTGTTCACGATGAACACTGTCAGCCTGCACAAAAACAAACAAATGCACCTTATTTTTGTTTTCTTTGAAATAAAAAAAGAAAAGAAAACTCTGTGTGCTGCTGCTGTCATCTCTCCCACAGCTCAGATCTCCCTCAGTGGGAGTCGTGGCATGTTTTTTTTTAACCAACACAAACACAGAACGAGAAAAAAAAAAGAGAAAACCCTCACCAGCTTTACAGGGATCCTTGTAGTCGATGGCCTCTGATGTGGCAGACTCCACATAGTAACCCGGATCAATCGACTCCTCCAAATCGATCGTCAATATCACGCCGAGAAGACACGAGAGGAGAAGGAGGAAAAGGAACAAACATCTCGCCGAGAGATCCATGATTGTGGAGAAGACACGGCGAGAAACGAGGGATAAAGGTAAAAGGAAGAGAGAGGGAGAGAGAGAGAGAGAAAGAGTGAGGGAGAGAGAGAGAGAGAGAGAGAGAGGGAGAGAAATGGGAGGTTTTGGGGGAAATGAGATCCCAGAGGAGGGCGGGTTTAATACAGCTTCTCTCTCTCTCTTACTCTCTTACTCTCTCTCTCTCTCTTCTCTCCGGTGTCTTCTTCTTAGCTCTGGGGGCAGAGATTTAGTGCTTTCGGTCGCATATAAACCCGCAGCACAAAGTTTGGTGATCAGTCAGGGGGAGCTAGAGAATGTTCTCTAAAAATTAAAACAAAACTCTCTCAGTGATGCCACGGCGCGTGTGTGTTGAGTTGGGACGTGTGTTGGTGTTGGTGTGGATTTGTGTTCGTAGAATCAGAGGTCAGTGATAAACGGGTTACGAGCAATTTGGTTCACCGTGCAGGATGAAGTCCGTATTAGAGAAGAGTGCAGATGTTAAAGAAAAAAGTGACCAGGATATGAGTTCAAATATACTACTTTTCTCTCACTCTCTCTCTCTCTCTCTCTCTCTTTCTTTCATTCTCTCCAGGTAAATGGGAATGTGTTTGATGTGTTCCAGTCAGCTGGATACAAGAGCAGGAAGGCTTATTAAGTACAAGGAATAAAGTAAGAAAACAAAAACGACGATAATAATTGGAATTAAGAAATGGAAGGGAAGAAATTAGCAAATGTATAAAAGTAAAAGATGATGATAGAAGTGAGGGAGAAAACGGGAAGAAGGAAGAGCTTTTTCCTTCTTTCCTCCCTTCCTTATTTACTTATCTGATTTTTCGTTTACCTCATTATCACAATCTTTTCATTATTATTCTTTCCTTAACTGTGTGTGTTCTATCTTTCTTTCATTTTCCACTTATTTTGTACCCCTTGTTTACGTAAAATTACCTTACTTCTGTTTTCCCCTTTTCCCATTTTTCGAATTCTTTAACTATTGTTATCTTTTTTTCCTGCTCCTGGGTTCTTCTTCCATTTTTTCACTAGCGCATCCTTCTGTTTCTTCCATTATTTATTTACATTTCCTATCCGCCACATGCTTGTTTTTTGTTATTTTCTAATAGGCTATATTTTAATTTGTTTATCGGTGTATGTGGTAGTCTGCGCGCGAGCACACGCATCAGTCTGCTTGACCTCTGTTTCTTGTCTTCACGCTCGTTTTACCAAGAGTAGGTTAAAGTGACTACAGTGACACCTGCTGGCAGTTATTGTAACCACAGTCAGAACTTCATTACATTTAATATAATTGTGCAGTATGGTATGTGGCATTAGTTTAGTCGTGTGTTTTTTCAAATGCTCATTCAATTTCATTTTTTGTTTGCGTTCTGTATTTACAAATATTACATATTGGCCGGCCTCTTTATTGGGTACACCTGTGTCTTGATGTGTACCTGATGAAGTTATTTGATAGACTAATCACATGACAGCAGCAACAACGAGGTTAAAACGACCTGTTCGACTTTAAACTGTGCACCACCAGGGCTGTTCGAGTGACGTGGGATGTACTACAGGTGTCGGGACTGAGGCAAATTATGTGAAAACATCCATCCACCCATCCACTCACCATGGCCAGATGGTGATAGTGGTGATGTATGGGTGTGGAGAATATACTCGAAGCACACCTTTGCTCTGTAGTTTAAAGAACATAACTTAAATCTTACAAAATGACTGACCAAAGTGTAAGAAATTATTTCAGAGTTTTGTTCATTTATCCCTTTATAAGTTTTGTCAGTTTTAAAGATCTCTGGTTAATGTTCCTAGATGGAATCAACTGGATAGATTTACCCAATCTATCAGTGAGAGTATACTTGATGTTCTTTCCCAGCTTTAGTTACATACGTGACCAGTCTGTGTCAGCAGTTTAGCTGTTCTTCATCTGACCGTCATCAGTTTTTGTCCCCTCCTTACAATTTACAGAAAAACATCTCTGTTTACAGTGTTATAAGCAACACGCACTCCTCGTCTTTATCTAATGTGAATGATGGCCATGTGTGGAATGTAAGACAGGATGTCTGCTGGCTGAGATGTGAGTGGGCTGTGTTTATGCTGCTGCTGTAAACACCTCAGTATAACTACCATAATCTCCTTCATTATACTGCGTTTAGCAAACAGTGATCCTCAGCTAGCTCAGACCTGTCAGTGTTGAGGATGGAAACAAATATTTACCCTCCTGACAGGAATCACAGTGGACTTTAATCTGGATCCCGAGAAAGAAGCGAAGAAAGACAATGTTGCTTCAAACAGCGGTGTAGACCATTGAACTTTTTTATCTTTAAGAGAAAAATAAGCATATTAAAGTATACCAGTTTTTGATAGATATTATTTACTTTATCTAGATAATAATACCATATATATATATAAACTGTGTTGATATAAACAAGACTTGCACAAAATTGACTTCATAAAAACTTTTATTTTTAAGCATTTTTCTGCAACATGTATAATGGAATAGAGGTCATATAGATCATACTGATCATAAAAAGGTCAAGAAATAACTGGCCTGAAATATCTGCATATCTGCATGTCACTGACATAAAAAAAAAACATTCTATTCAACTGGTATTTCAAATACATGTCCTGAAATTAGGCTCTAATCTGCTTCAACAGTAACTAAATCATGTTAGACAAGGTGAAATTAAATTTGTGAATTTTTATTGTCATTATTATTGTTATTGTAACGTTTATAGAAATATTTTATAATATTAAAGACATATTTAACATGTTTAAATATAATTATCCAAGCCAAACACACTGTTAATGAACATACTACAATATTCTGAAGGATTACATTATTTAACTCATATTATATGCTCTCAAAACCAAAATTGTATAAATTCGAGGGTCATGTCTTAAGGGAGAAAAAACTTGTGACTTTGGTGTTTATTATGAAATTGGGGGATTTTTGTCATAGTATACAAAGTAGGTATCAGGAAAAGCCATAGTCCAGTAAAAGGAAAGGAAAGTCTCCATCGGGGTGGCAGGCTAATTACCTTACCCACTGGGCCCAAGCGGGACACCCCAAACAAACTACAAAGCGAAGCCCGAGAGGCAGGATGGAAGAAACAACCCAGATGGATTTTTCGGTAATGACTGGAACGGACACAGGCAATGATGACAAGGTAATGCGAAAATGCAGGTGTGGCTGGAAGAACCTGACAACTTTCAGGGGCCTAAGGATCCACAAGGGAAAAAAGAAGTGCGGAGTGAGTGGCCAGCAGCAACATTGCACTGCATCTGCAGGTCAGACAGTAGGAGCCCAAAACCAGGTCGCTAACCACAGCGCTGAGGGTTCCAACGCTGCTGAAGGAAGGCAAGCGGAGGACACAGAAGGACCCTGGCCTTCTGTGTCCTCTGAGAGTGGCACCGAGGAAGCACCCCCAGAACACCAACAAACCTCAGAACACAACAAAACTCCCATAACCAGGAACCAGGCCGTCGGCAGCCAGTTAAATGGCCTAAAGCCAACGAGGTGGCAGTGTGGCAGCAGCTGGATAAAGACCTGGTTAGCATTGTAGAGCACTCACTACGTGGCCAAATAGAGACCGAGCTAAACTGCTTTGGAGACTTCCTCTACAAGGAGTGTAGAGGCAGGTTTGAAGTAATGGCTGTAAGACAGAACGTTGGGCCAAGGCAGAAGGGAAGAAGGGAGAACGAGCAGTTGGTGAAGAGGTGGCCTCAGCTCCGAAAGCAGTGGAGGAATGCAGGTGAAGAGGAGAAGGAGGGCCTGAAACCACTGTGTTTCATCCGCAAACACAGGAGGCGGAAGGAAAAGGAGAGGAGCAACTTCTTCAAAAACCCCTTCAAGCACGCAAGACAGCTTCTAGAGGACAAGAGAAGCGGGATCACAAAATCGGAGCTGGAGGATCACTTCAGGGAGCAATACAGCGACCCAGCAAGATCAACTCTGCTGGGATCTCCTGGTTACGTTCCTTGCCCAGCCCCCTCATCTTTCTCATTTGATGCTGCTCTCCCTAAGCTCAGTGAGGTCGCAGAAGTTGTCCGGAAAGCAAGAGCAGCCTCAGCCCCAGGCCCCAACGGGATGGAAAAACCAAGTCATCCCCTTAGAGTGGCAAAGGACAGTCACAGTTTTTATCCCGAAGGAGGCAATATCCACAACCATCAGTCAGTTCAGGAGCATCGCCCTACTGAATGTTGAAGGAAAGATCTTTTTCTCCGTACTAGCCAAGAGGCTGACCAACTATATGACTAGCAACACATTGACACCAGATGCCAGAAAGCAGGTGTACCAGAATTCCCAGGGTGTGTGGAACACTCTGCAGACAGCTGGGAGCAAATCCAGAGAGCAAAAGGCGACCTTGCCAACGCATACGGATCCATCCCCCATCAACTCATCTATGCCCTATGCCCTGGACTTCTTCTATATCCCTGGCCCCATCAGAACCTTAGTAGCCAAGTTCTTTGAAGACCTCAAGATGTGCTGCACCTACCAGGACTACACTACAGGATGGCAGCAGCTGGAGGTAGGTATAGCCATGGGATGCTCGATATCTCCCATTCTTTTTGTTGCAGCTTTTGAGATTGTCCTGATCGGAGGAGTAAAGCTGCCATCAGGGCAGAGGCTACCCCCAGTGAGAGGCTATATGGACGACATCACCACCATCTTTCAGACAGCAGCGTGTACAACGAGACTGCTGAAGAAGATTGACGAGCTTGTGGGGTGGGCAAGGATGAAGATCAAACCTGCCAAATGGCGCAGCCTCTCCCTGAGGAAAAGAGTTGGAAGCAATAAGACCACATTTGTTGTGAGATTGTCCTGATCGGAGGAGTAAAGCTGCCATCAGGGCAGAGGCTACCCCCAGTGAGAGGCTATATGGACGACATCACCACCATCTTTCAGACAGCAGCGTGTACAACGAGACTGCTGAAGAAGATTGACGAGCTTGTGGGGTGGGCAAGGATGAAGATCAAACCTGCCAAATGGCGCAGCCTCTCCCTGAGGAAAAGAGTTGGAAGCAATAAGACCACATTTGTTGTAGGTGGTGAAGAGATCCCACTGCTGGCAAGCTAACCCATCTGCAGCCTTGGTCGTACCTATACTGCAGAACTCTCCGACAAGAAAATGGGGGAAACAGTGAGGAAGCAGCTGGCAGATGGCCTGGCCAGGATCAATCAGAGCCAGCTCCCCGGTAAGTACGAAGTATGGAGTTACCAGTTCGTACTGTACCCAAGGGTGATGTGGAACACCTTAAAATCAAAGTGGTGGCTCAAAGCCGACAGGGAGGCTGAATGTCATGGGAAGGTGTTACAGACAGGCCCCTGGCATGGACTGATATGTGGAAGATCCCCCAGGGTCGACCTGGGGAGGCAGCTCCAATTTCCCAGGGAGATCACAGAAACTTCGCTCCAGCCAGATCTGATCTTGTGGTCAGAACCACGCAGGACCATTCTGATGGTGGAGCTTACCGTCCCATGGGAGGAAGGCATTGAGGCTGCGGAAACATGCAAAGGACGTAGACTTGGCAGGAGAATGCAGAGAAGCTAGTGGGAGACTAGTGGGGCCCAGGGAGGTGTTCAGATGAGCACACCAGCACAAAGGTACTGGTGGAGGTGCGTCAGGCAGCAATGCCCAGCTGGCAGACCACCAGCCTGTATTTTCATATAGGTTCATGGGTATGAGCCTAAAATTTATTTAGATACTATGTCATTTATGGGCTGGCTGATAGATTTTGTCCTTTTAATGTAGTATAAACAATTATTTGGCAGAAATGCTGCATCACAAATAATCACTAATATGCATATATGTATATATCTTAGTTCAAAGTTGAATTCTGGGTGTGCCAGAAAATATTTCAATGTTATGTACTTAACTGGATTGTTCATTTTTTTAATGCTGTACACATAAAAATATTTAGGGGTCATGTCAAAGTTGAGGGTCGGGGGGGGGGGGGGGCCCTACCCAATCATATGTGTGTACAGTATGGTTAACTAGCAGCTGAGATGGATGTCACTTAGTCTGGGTATCTATGCAAAAGCTCCCTCTGTAATTGGTCAGGGAGTTCTCCACGTTGTTTGGTACTGTTTACATCACCAGTTAGGGCACAGGATCGTCAGACGGGATCAGGCTCTCAGAGGTCTCAGAACCAAAATGCATCAGGTAGTGGGTCGGCAAGTACAAAAGGTTTTCACTGCTGTAAACAGACACAATACAATTCAGAAACTGATCAGAAATGACAAAACAAAACTCAAGGGCACTGAATTGTTCTTTGTTTTAGTGTAGGATATTGATTATCTTTAGCTATATCCACACATACAAGTAGCTGTTTACTGTTCAAAAAGGTAACTTTCTGTCAAGTCTGGCTAAGTTTATGCTGTGTGCTCAACAAAAAATAGACACAAAAATAGTTTATAGATTATGTAGCGGGTTGTTTTTGGTCTTCATTTTTTAATTTAAATCTGTCAGTCTTTACTTGCTCATAATGTAGCTACAAACTCAGTGCAACATGAGCTTTCAAGGAAAACAGTCAATGCCAATGCCTAAGTCATCGTAAAAGCGCGGTATTAAGTTAGTGTATGGACAGGCAGTCACATACAGTACCTGTCCTTCCTTCATCTGCTTTCACCAAGTCCATACCAGTCCAAACCTGCACAGTGTGGGTGGTTTGTACAGCATTCTCAAATGTTTTGGAGTGGTTTGGTTTAAAACCACTGTTGAAAGAAGCTTCAAGCTGCTCCTTCACATAGTTTGAACTAAACTGGAGAATTGTCATTTTTCAAGCCTTCAGAAAGGAAAAGTGAGGACCAAGGGTTTGCATTGTTACGTTGTAACAGTAATGTAGAAAATATAGTTTGGTGTGAGAAAATGTACCCATTGAAGCAAGAGCTTGTATCTACTTTTGACACCATTGGTGTGGAATACAGACAGTGGCACAGTGTTCAATATTCCTATTAGATGCTACATATGACACACCTTAGGATCATGGGTAGGAGCTGGAGTAACAGTCTCACCACCTGGGCTGAGAGATCCCACTCTACTTGTCTGTGCTCCAAGCAGTGTCACAGTGATAGAGGTGGGGGCTTTCTGTCCTACTGACGACACAGAAAACAGAACCAGCTCAGCAGTAACAACTACAGAGGAAAATGTCTTCCAGATCACGTTGCCGAAAATGTTGTGATATTTCGTGGTTATGGCAGAAAATTATAACAGCAGCAGCATGTTGGACAATGAACATGAGATGTTGAGGAAGAGCAGGTTTAGTCAAGACAAAAACTGAGAAATAAAGTAGTGAGTTTGGTTCAAGATTTTTTTATTGGGCTGACAACTGCTGTATATTGTCATTGCCTGATGACAATGTAAGAATTCAGCATTTGTAAATGTGGACATTGAATGCAGGTGTTTTAATGGTTAAAACATGAAGAGGCAAAACCAATAGTGAAACAAAGACATTTTACATTTTTATTATTTTCAAATGCTCAAACATCTGACCTAATGTTGAACAAATCGGCCTTTCTTTAACAGAAAATCTATCTACAAACATCTCAGTATCGCCATCCTCCATGTTCCTCCATTGTGACGATCCTGTCTGGCCTACAGACACCCTGACCTACGCTTTCCAATACAAAATGATGAATGAACCCTGAACATTTAACGTGGACGTCGTGCTTTGGCAGTGCGAGACATACCAGCTGTCTGATTGGTGAGGTGAGCCAAACCGGGAAGGCTGCTGGCGAGTTTGGCCAGCCCGCCATTGGTGAGCAACTGGTGGATGGCTGTGGTTTTAGCCACTCCTCCTGTGGTGACCACAGGTACTGCCCGTAACAAAGTACTACCATTGCTGCTGCAGTTACCCACCATGCTCAGAACCTGACCCTGGGGCTTCCCACAAGCTGCCTGAGAAAGGAAAAGAAAAACCCCTTCAGTGAGGTTTTCCTGGTACATTACCTTCAGTTCTGAGAACCAATGCCCAGATGCTTTATAATTATGTACAACAAGATAGAGGTGAAAATGTGACTCCACAGTACATTAAGAGCTTTACAATTCATAAGGTAAAGACAAGTCCTGTGGACTCAGGTTGTTAAATATGAATACTAGGACTGCACAAAGTTAAGAGTATAAAACGTTGAGGTAAATTAATGGAAATAAACCTAGTTTTGGTGTCCCTTGGCCCAAATGATAAAAATCAAGTCACAACCACAGTATTGATGCAGCACAATGAGTGACTCTCATTTGATCCCAAAAAAGTAGTGTCACACGCTATGTAAACTCAAATCAAAAGAACACTGAGGAAATGAACAAAGCTATGTCCTTATTTATGATGCAAGATTTCTAACAAATCACAAAGCAGGACCAGCATTAAACTTTACCTGGGCACAGCTTGTGTTTGCTGCTGTGGAGGGCAGGCTAGTTTTGGTGATGATGTCGTGAAGACTGAAACTTAAGCCTTGTAGCAGACTGCTTGCGGAAGGCACTGTACACAGACACAAAAGTAATCAGTCAATGTAATTTTTGGGTTACGAAAAAAATTAAATGTTTATTCACACACACAAAAAAACACCTTTATTTTACTGTCTGCCTCCATTCAACCTCCACAGAGGCAAATGAACTGAAACACGCACATACACAGACACACACACCAAATGGAGATACTGTATGTCCAAAGGTAGGGATTGGGACAGCAACAGAGAGCAATGGCGCAAGAGGTGATCAATGATGTTTTGCTTGATTATGTCTTCCTAAAGCCTGATTCTACAAACTGGCTACAGCTGTGATGTGTGTTGAAGCTACAGCTGCACATTTAAGAGTGCAAACAGGCGTGCAGGGCAGGGCAGGACAGAGATACCTGGGGCAGTAGCCGGAGCTTGTGCCTGGACTGTTGTGGCGGACCCTGACACCATGCAAGGCTGCACGCTGCTGAAGGAGCTGGAGCCTGGGGACAGTGCACCAGACACCTCTGAGAGACTACCAGACCTGCAGTAAACACATAACCACCAGTCCACTCAGGAGCTAACCTGGGAAGTGCTGTTCTGCCTTCACTTAGCTCCCAACATCTCAAAACACCACTCATCAACCTCTCTGCACCAAACACACTTTTTCAAATAGGGTGGGAGGTGTTGGCGTAAGGCTTGGTTGTAGGATACGGACTATGCAAAAAACGCCACAAGGCTAAAACGCTTACCGCTGGCCTGTTAGAAGTCCAGAGAGCTCCTTGGCTCCAGCCACTGTCTGTCCTACAGTCACTGTCAAAGGCTTCCCAGAGACACTGGCTGAATAAAAAAAGATAATCGTCCAAATAGTTTAACCTTCAATAATCATTGATCAGAGGGGTTTTTTTCTCTACTGCAGCAGCTGTGACTGAAAGATCTCAGAAGAAAAAAAGTTAATAAAAACAAAAGCCAGGTTCCATGAAGTGTTCTATAATTCACCATGGGTATTGGTTGCACCAAGTCATAGTGAAATGTTTATTTCTGCTATGGATCAAACAAACCACCACCAGAACCATGTAAAGATCAGTATGAATGTGTGCAACTCAAATATTACTATTTTCCTTCAGTCCATAAGATATTTTAATAGTTAAAATAAATAAATACAGCACATTACACTTTCTCTTTCTAAAAGATTCTCTATTTCTAAAAGATAAATAATTAGAAGTTGCATACCTTCCTGTGCAGCGGGGCTGATAGTGCCCCCTGCTGACTCGCCTTGGGAAACAATGGTCACTTTGATCTTTGCTCTCTTGGAGGCTTTGTTTGATGTGGGACTGGGGGCCTGCCTCCTCTTGCCATGTGGCCGTAGCTCATCTCTGTCAAAGCCCTCCATCTGATCAGAGGTCAGGGGCACTGCACCACCACAGATGGGCACAAACACAGTGAATAAATACAAGAACTGTGTACCTTTGTACATATGTTGTTAACCTGCAAAATGATTAACATACATGTACATTTATTATTTAAAGGGTATAATTTAAAATTAAAATGTTTGTGACAGCACTAGAAACCACGAGTAGGCAAAGAGAAAGAAAAAAGAAAGGAAAAGGACAGAAACTTACCAAAGATACAAGGAGAGGTGCCAGGAGGAAGGTTTTTCCTCACAGGCACATTTTGTTTCATAAAAGCAGCAAACTGAGCTGAAATAGATTGAGAAAAAAAAGTTGGAAAGAAAAGTTGAAGGAAGAGAAGAGACCAGGAAGATAAGAGGATAGTTTCCAAGGTCTAGCTTGTCATCAAACGATGTCACAAAATTTATTTTCAGAGCTCACATCATGTCCCCCTCTAAACACACAGTCCACAGAACTTTTGCAAAGTTCAGCAGAGGTCAGGTTGATTGCCCGATAAACAGGATTACATAAACCATCAGTCACCACAAACAAACAACCTGTGTAAGTGAATATTGTGTTTACTTGATGGTAGATGTGGATAGTGAACTAACCATGAGCCTGTTTGTGGGTGAGTACTGTGCCAGAGCGCTGCATATGGGTCTTCAGGAGCTGTGTAGCTGTGATCAAACTGGACTTCTGGGCTGGTGACAGACCGGACGTCTTGGGTTTTGGACTTAATGTGGGACTGCTACAGACGCTGGACAGATCCTAAAACACAGTCAAGAGGAGTTAGTTGATTTATTTGGGATTAGTCATTAGAGTAGATGTTAAAAATGCAGAATTGCCTTTAAATGTGATAAAAAAAAACTAAAAATCAAACAACAAACGTTTCTGGTTTGTTTGCATCTGATAAAAGGAATCCTACCAGCTGACACTTTTGGCACACACATTTACCCCTCATTCCAGACCACTAACTTTTAAATCTGTGATCAACATATAAAAAATACTTGGGCATGGTCAAACTCAAAAGAACTCTCATTACAAAAACCATAACAGGCAGAGGATAAACTAAAATGTTGCCGTTTTCGACTGACCTCTGAACCTGATGGAGAAACAGGAACTCTAAGTGCAGGGGAGGACGGTCGTCCTCTTTCCATGTCAAAAGGGAGCTCCCGTCGGGGCCTTTTCTTTTTCTCAGTGTCCAGGTCCCGCATCTCTCCAGAACCCAGAACGTGGCTTTCCAACCTTGTAAGGACACCTGACAGGAAGTCAGATATCTCGTCCTATAAGAAAAGTTGTAAAGATGCACATTGGAAAAAAGACCAGGCTGAGTATGCCGTCTGGATGAGTTTTCTGATCTACTTTTGTGGATTTATGCATGAAACAAAAACACATTATATGTCACATTGCATTACATTTCTTGGCAGCTTAATGTTGCAAGTACTCCTCTTCGTTGGACCCTCTATTGTTTTCTTGTCATTAACCATCATCTGCTAAATTAGCCATTACTTTGAAAGGACAATTGTCAGCGGCCGCTGTGGAACAGAACGAATGCTTAACATCGAATGAAAAAAAAGAAGTGATTATAGCCAATTTATTCTCAATATGTGTTTTCTTAAGGTCAAAGTACGTGTGGTAAAAAAAAATCAATAGGATTTCATTTTGATGTAAGGAAGATTTGATTGATTTGATAGGTTTGTTATGATCTGTACTTTTTAGCAGACTTTAATCAGCTTGTGTAACTAACTCAGATCAGCCACATGAGATTACTGGTAAATTGTAGATCCTTCTATTGTGGCTATGCCTGTGGTCTGCTATTGTCTAACAGGCTGCAGAACACAAACAACATTTCTTTGTCATTAACAGTCAACATCACAAAGACCAGACCATCTCGATGACGATGATTAAAAGGCAACCAGACCCCAATCCAACAAAGTAACTTTGCCACGTGTAGGATCAGGACAGTGGCATAATTGATATGAAGAGAAAACAATAATTCCAACCGTGTATTATGTCATCAGTTCATAATGGAGTAGAAATCTCTGCAAAAAAGTGTTTACTAGGTGTACACCTTTGTTTAAACCAGGCTCCTGCATTACATATATTAGCCACAGGCTGTGCTACTCTTTATTTACAACTCAGGCATATCTTGAGAAAAAAACAACTGACATTCCCAGGGAGTAGGTCTTACTTGAATGCAGCGGTCCACTATGGTCTGCGTCAGGCCCTCCGATTTCATCTTTGCAGAGTTTATTCTGTGGAAGTGTGAGTTTCATTTCTAGTTACAATTAAAAACTTGGTTAATTAAATCCACACACTTTTGGCACAGAGTGTATGACGGGACTGACCTGAGGTTATCATCTGCTCCTCCAACCACCACCATGCTATTGTCAGCCCTCAGCTTCTCCCTGAATTCCTCCATACCTTCAATACTGCACTGCAAAGCATTCTGGCCGACCACAAACAACACTGGGGTCTTCATGTCCAGAAGTGGGTCGTCCACATCCTGCAAGCCCAGGGAACAAGTTAACCTTGTGATTGTCTTTTTTTATTTAAACAGTTTTCAGTTCTTCTCAGGTGAGCATTTGGGGTTTTTTTTTAAATGAAAAAGACAACAGACAATATAAAAACAAGATGTATACATCTACCAATATAAACTTACCCCTCTTGGTCCATTTACTGTTAACAAAGGGAAGCCAAGACACACTACAGCAGACAAATACTCCATCAGAGATATCTGAAAGATAAACAAGCCCATGACAAGATAGTACATCTTCATAAAACATAACAAGTAGAAAGGTTTCAGTACAATGTTTCACATGTGTGGTACATCTTACATGACAAGCGATTAGAGCGCCAGCGTTCCATCCAACCAGGATGATGGGTTTGTGCGGGAAGTGACTGTGAACCTGGTGTTAAGTTTCATAAAAAAAGGGAATTATGTAAAAATACATTTGCATTAGATTATACATACAATAATGTATTTACTACCCTGATGTATATGCTTTAGTACTCGTTGTGAATTTTTTTAAAGAAACTAATTAGACATGATAATTTGATTTGGACTTTACTGTGTGGGATGGTTGGGAGCAATACAGAACAAGGTCTTTCATTACATTTACGCCTGCATGTTTACTGTTTGCAATTATGGTACCACAAGGTTAATTTTATGATACATTATGTTTAGTACAATATTCCCTTTTGGCCAAGTCCATACCCATAAACATCTCAGGGGCATTAATTGCTTCAGCTGTAGTCAGTCAAGATTTGTAAAATAGTGTTCTATTTTTGTGATAGACTGTCACGTAATGTTGAAAACATTGTGGATTGTTTTTTATGTGACCTACTGTTTGTTTTATAGTTGGACTAGTATTGATGTGTAACATCAGATATATATATATAT